ATGCAATAGGCTTTAAAATTTCCTTTAAAGTAGTCTAAAGACTTGTCAGGAATTTCTTGCATTAAAATAATATTAACTGATGTCTGGCGTTATAAATTGTCTCATAGAGTTCTTTCGGAATAAACCGAAGGTGGCTTTTTTAGACAGGGGCTCTTCAGAGCTGGTCTTGGTAAAATTTTATCTAAGAAAGGTCCTCAAGAATCTATCATTACCAGGATATCATTCAACGAATTTGTGGAGACTTCAAGGGCCATTTAGCAACCACATGAAGGTTTCTTAAATATTACTTAATCCAGATGAAGTATTCTGTTACCCAATTAAAAATGGCGCCCAACATGTGGCTTAATCGTACCATAATTTGGAAACTACCCTTTGGTCTATATCGTCGTCAAAAACATGATCAATGGATTAAAGCTACAAATATTTTAAATAATAATGTAATTTCATGGACCTCCAAAACCCTATGACAGTGGCGCCCAACGTGTGGCTTAAGCGTACGTACCATAAGAATGAACATATTTCTTTGGTCTCAAGATACAAGGAAATGGTCGAAGATCTAGCAACACAAATATTTTGTATATTATTCTAATATATTCTGGAATTCTAAATGCTCAAGCATCCTATCAAGGTGGCGCCCAACATGGGGCTCCATCATAGCATAATATACGATATTTCTTTTTAGCCATTAATGGAAGAAGAATTTAAACCACATATATTTCGTATAAATTTCCAACATTATTTTGGACTTTTCAGCCTTTTAATGCCCTATCAAAGTGGCGCCCAACATGTGATTTCACTATACCATAATATTAACAATTGAACTTCAACATACCAAAATATAGGAAATTTCTCGTTGATCGCTAATGGTAGAAGAATAAAAACCACAAATATTTCGTAAAAAATTCTAATATTATCTTGAACTTTTCAGTCTTCTAATACCTTACCAAAGTGGCGCCCAACATATGGTTTCACTACCATATTATTATATTAAAAATTTCTTTTTGCTCGCTGATTTCAAAACGAAGGTCAAACGTTGGACTAGAACTACAAAAAAATCACATAATAATCTAAAGAATCATTGTGGATATCTCAGACGACTAGTATTCGATCAAAGTGGCGCCAAACATGTGGCACATCATATCATAGACTTTGTAAGGTCTTAAATGGCAATATGAAGATATATTCGGAGACTTCTCAAGGCATTATAGCCATTTCCTCAACACATTTCGCGCCCAACATGTTTACGCCATATGAATGCGATTTTAAACATTCGATAATATTCAAAGCCTCTTTGTCAAAACCTGAAGTGAAGAAGGTATAGCCATCTGAAGCTGAAGAATACTCGTTGCCGCAAGACCATTGAAACTTTATACGAAGGCATTTTTAGCCAATTAAAAGACGTATAAAGGCTACTTTGACTGAATTCTGAAAGAACTACTCGTGTTGACATTTTACCGCATGTGGCACGTTATTACAGGACGTTACCAAAGTGGCGTCCAACGTGTGACACCTCAGAACATAGACTTTGAAATGTCATACATGGTAATCTGCAGATCTGCCATGTTATTCTTGAAAGAAATTATTTTCTACTGCAATCTTGGGAAAGTATTTAATAACGGCTGTTGAAAACTTATTCATCCAACTTTTTATGTATTCTATCATTCTATTAAAGTGGCGCCCACCATGGGGTTGGCAATACTACACTGATTACATGTCTCTTTGGTTATTGGCGTCGATGGATTTTTGGAATGGATTTCATAGGCGAACAACCAAATCTGATACCAGGCTTTAAACGACCAAATTGGCGCCCAATATGTGGCTCAGCATGTAATATAAAACTTCTGGTCTCGTAAAAATAAGATTGGACTTCTTGGAATTTGGAATTTCTTGGATGAAAAAAATATCTGGTGTTGCTTTGTCTTATGAAAGTTCTCGATTTTATTTAGAGTGCATGTTCGATCACTCTACCAAAGTGGCGCCCAACGTTGAGCAACATCGTACTATTTAATTCGAAATTTCAATTTAATAATTGGCTTTAAACAACAAAAGTTACACACAACATGTGGCACAGCACACCATATAATATGAAATGTCTGCTAACGTATCTCGTATAATTATCCATTAAATTATTATGAACTTCTTCGACGAAAAAAATATGGCTTTTTCTTGTCCTATGAAAGTGTCCAGTTTCTTTGCGGACAACAAACCACGGTTTTAATGGGTCTAAAGTTGTTAAAATCATCCCTTTGGGTAACTTTTTGAGCCGATATATGAATCATATGAAGTCCTTCGAAACCTAAGAAATTCCAAGTTGATGTTCGTTCAACCTACCAAAGTGGCGCCCGACGTGTGGCGTCATCGTACTTTTTTATTGGAAATTTTAGATTAATAACTGGCTTCTATGGACCAAAGTGGTGCCCAATATGTGGCTCAGCTCACCACAGAATATAAAATATTTGTTCTTGAACTTATTATGAACATCTTGGAGGAAAAGCATAGTCAGTGTTGCCTTGCTCTATAAAAGTCCTAGAGTTTATTCTGGATCAACAAACAGAGATTTTCTGGGTCAGGATCTAAAGTTAATTAAACCTCCTTTTCGTTAAATTCTTTGAGCCCCTATAACACAATAAAATCCAGACTATGAAGTCCAGAGGTGATATTCGATAACCCTACCAAAGTGGCGCCCAACGTATTGTGGTATTGTACTTTTCAACCTGAAACTTCTGTATGATAACTGGTTTCATATAGCTCAGCACAAAATATAATATGAAATGTCTGTTCTGCCATAACTCTGCTTGGATTTCTTGGACCTTCTCAGAATTTATTCTCGATCAACAAACAGCGACTATTTTTGGGTCTAAAGTTGTTAAAATCATTTCTTTAGGGAACTTTTAGAGCCGATATAAAATCGTATGAAATCCTTTGAAAACTATTAAGTCCAGAGTTGATGTTCGTCCACCCTACCAAAGTGGCGCCCAACGTGTGGCGCTATTATTTTTTATTTGAAATTTTAGATTGACAACTGGATTCTATCGGCCAAAATGACATGTAGCTCAGCACACCATAGAATAGAACCACATGCCTGGACTTGTTATTGACTTCTTGGGCGTAAAACATATCTAGTGTTGACTTGTCCCCTATAAAAACACCTGAGTTTATTCCCGTGCGCTGTTTTTATGTGTCTAACGTTTTTGGAATCATCTCTTTGCATAACTCCTTGAGCCAAAATTAAATCATATAAAATACCCCGAAAATTTGGAAGTCCACAGTCGATGTTCGATCAGCCAACAAAAGTGGCGCCCAACATGTGACGTAATTGTAATATTTAATTCTTGTTTTTCAACAGTTATAAATCGACTTTAAATTTTATCGAAGCTCTTTTAAATTCCTCCATTTGGAGAAGACCGATAAAAGGTATTCTACCAAGCTCTACCAAAAATGGGAGTTCATTATGGGGACTATAACATATATTTGGCCTACATTGGCAATTTGCAGCAGGGAACAGTTCTTAACCCCTAGAGAACCTTAATTCTTCAAAAAAAAAAAAAAAAAATCGGAAATATTTCCCAAACCTACCAAATATTACACTCTATGGGGCTTATGTCAAAACTTGGGTACCGAAAAATGTCCTAGCACGAATTTTTATTCCATAAGAACGCAAAATATCAAATTATAGACAATTCGGTTAAAATCTAAAAAATTCCGAATATCAGGAGGTTCTGCTGTATGGTGGACTTACATTACAATAGGTCCAATGACCAAAACTACAGCGTTTTTAATTCTATGGTATGGTGACGCCAAAAATATAGTGTGGGCTCTTTCGCGATTTCAACAGGCAGACAAACTTAGTTAAGCCGACTTAGAATTTTGTACCGATCAAGAATGTTCTTGATTCTGGGTTCTCGATCCTGGTCATAGTCCGAAATGATAAAAATATATATTTCAAGTAGCGACCAACGGGGGATCCTATCAAGGCCAAAAATTATAAAACAATACTTCAAGTGGCGCCCAACGAAAAAAAAAAGATTTTTTTTACATAAATACACCACGTTTGGGAGCCCGAGCCTGAACCACATTTTAGTATGTCATGATGTCTGCTATATATTTTTATGGTGGTGGGTATAAAAATGCCTTCCAGAGGACTTCTGTAGGCAGACCACTTAAAACTTCTTGTAGTTTTTTGTGGGTAAGAGAAGTCTTAGAGGTCTTGTATAGATGAATCCGAATTGATCTTTAAGGTTGAGGTACCACCTATTGAGAACCGTTTGAAAATTTTGGCTGAAATGTTGAAAACCCCAACTTTTCAGAAGGTATGTTTGTATGATACTTAATGCAGCTCTCTGATCAAGATCATATCCATATATTCTCATGATGGTGAGTATAAAAAGGCCTTCCAGAGGACTTCTGTAGTCAGACCACTAAAAGACTTCTTGTAGTTTTTTTATGGGTAATAGATTTCTTAACCATTTGAATATTTTGGCCGAAATATTAAAAATCCCAAAATTTAAGATGGCATGCTTGTAAGATACTTAATGCGGCTCTCTGACAAAAATCATAGCCAGAAGGAAAATATTAACTAAAAAAATTAAATAAAAATTACTTTAGTTGGCACTGAACGTAAAAAAATTGGATTTTTAGAAAAATCGGAAAAAAATGTCTGAAAATATTCAAATTTTTAGAAGGCCTGGGGTCCCAAATTACATCGGCTGTGATTATAAAAAATCCTCCTATGGCCCATATTTACATGGAAGACCTCCTATAGATATTTCCTAAAAAGAAGGACATTTGTAGTTCTTCTGTGAGTAAAAGACCTCCTTACACAGGTCGTCTATACATTCTACAGATAGAACATCTTCTTAAGGTCTTTTATAATTAAAAACTTTATAGTCGTAAGAATAGGTCTTATTCAAGCCTTATTTTTCTCATTAAAAACACTTCTAAAATACTTCCGGTCACTTATATTTAATTGAATTTGTAATAAATACAAAAAAAATACTTACAATTTATTATTGTTGTTGATTCCGTTTCAGACGTGACGTTTTACGATTTGAAATGATTCGGACAATTGGTCATAGATATATGAATTAGATTATGGGAGGGATCGATGAGTAATCTTGCAGTTGTTGAGAATTGTTTTTTTTTTAATTTTTTATTTGGTTCGTAAATAAATGCTAGACAGAGAGAGAAAAAAACAAAAATACATTAAAAAAGGTTAAAAATAGATTTTTTTTATTAAAAAAATCTGAAAAAATTAAAAAAAAAACAAATCAAAAAAATACTGATCATGAAAAACCTTGATTTGAAAACCTCTCTCACAGCATGAGCGAGTGATGTAATTACAAATGAAAGGAAAAACATGACGCCATCAATCACCATACAAAACAACAACAACAATAACAAAACTACAACAATACCAACCGGTATTTGAATTGAGAAAAAAATATCTAAAATCCAAAATCTGTAACTTTATTCTATGTTGGAAGCATGCTGTTTTGTTTTATTTACTTCATACCTCACACACAACCAGCTTCGATGATACTAACCTACACTGCCGCTCAAAAGTGTACTACTGAAATGCGGTTAACTGCTGTTCCGCTTTCATTAAAGTATTTGTTTTTTTTTTTTGTTCAGGGCTCTGCTGCTGTCAGCGTTGGAATAAATTAATGATGACGTGTTCGAGAAGAGAGAGGTGAGGTAGGGTAGCAGGGGAGAGGAGAGAAGGGGAAGGGGGAGAGCAAAAGCGAGATAGATTGTAATTCTGAGATAAACAAGTCATGATGTCATGTCGTCATGACATGAGGCCCCAGTGTCAATAACAGAGACTCCAATGGTCATGACATGGAGCAATGGTCATGTATTTTTATATTAGACAAGGGAAGAATTCAATAGATTGAGATATAAAAAATGAAGCATAATTGACCTTTGGCCTTTCTACTTTAAGATGAGATTTTTATACCCTCAGCCATATGGCTACAGAGGGTATATATCATTTGATAAGGCCAAAACGTACCACATCGAAATAATGGTTTTAGACCATAGGTCTCTTTGGGCCAAATTCGATTCAGGACATTTGGAGCCAATCTAGCGATGTCCGTCCGTCCGTCTGTCTGGATGGCTGGTGCGCACGATAACTCTCGAAGGGAATATCATAGTGGCGCCCAACATGTGATACCCTAGAACATAGACTTTAAGATATCCTACATGGTAATCTGGTGATCTGTCATTAACTTTTTGAAAGAAAATATTTCCTACTGCGGTCTTCTGTTGGTTTTTTAGAAAGGCTATTGAAAACTTAAAATTCCAACCAACTTTTTACGTATTCTATCATTTTATTAAAGTGGCGCCCAACATGTGGCTTGCAATACCACATTATTGGCGTAGAGGGATTTTTGGAATGGATTTCATAGGTGATCAATCAAATAAGATAGCTGGTTTTAAACGACCAAAGTGGCGCCCAACGTATGGCTCAGCATATACGAATACGAAACTTCTGGCCTCGTGAAATTAATCTTGGACTTCTTGGATGAAAAAAAAAAAAAACATATCTGGTGTTGACTTGTCCTATGAAAGTTCTCGAGTTTATTTAGAAGTTGTGTACGATCACTCTACCGAAGTGGCGCCCAATTTGCGGCATGATTGTAATATTTAATTTTTTTGGCTGTAACTCTCTTCAATCGACTTAAAATATATTCGAAGCTCTTTCAAATACCTCATTTTGGAGAAATCTCATAAAAGGTGTTCTACCAAGCTCTACAATAAATTTAAGATCATTATGGGGACTGTATTGGCAATTTGCCGCAGGGAACCTAGAGAACCTTAATTCTTCAAATGAAAGTTTTTTCCAAAATATTTCTGAAACCTACCAAATACTCTATGGGGCTACTATCAGAATGTGGATATCGAAGAATTTTCTAGCCCGAGTTTTCATACAACTGGAACCCAAGGTATCAAATTATAGACAATTCGGTTCAAACCAAAAAAAAAACTCCGAATATCAGGAGTTTTGAAGTTTTGAATAATCAAAACGATTATAAAATCCGAAATAGACATCCGGTTCTCTTCATATTTCGCATATCCCATTATTTCTAACAACACAAGATATGCTGTTAAGGTGGGATATATCCGCCCACTCCTTCTGGTACCTCCCCCACAAAGGGTCAAAATTTTAAATATCCATGAAGCTCATAAAACGCGAAATTGATATCCGATTCCATTCAGACTTGGTACATCTCAATATTTCTATCAACACAAGATCTGTTATAAAGATAGTAGAAATCGGACCTTTCCTTCTGGTACCTTCCCCACAAAGGGTCAATGTTTTGAATATCCAAAAACGATCATAAAATCCAAAATAGACATCCGGTTCTTTTCATATTTCGCATATCCCATTATTTCTAACAACACAAGATTGTAGACATGGGACCACTCCTTCTGGTACTCTCCCTTTAAAGATTCAACAGTTTGAATATCCATGAAGTTCATAAAACGGAAAATTGACATCCGATTCCATTCAGACTCGGTACATCTCAATTTTTTCTCAATATTATAATCTGTTATAAAGATGGTAGAGATTGGACCATTTCTTCTGTTACCTCCCCCACATAGGGTTCAAGATTTTGAAAAACCAAACGTTTAAATATAAGAGAACTGATAAATATTTAATTTTTGAAAAATAAAAAAAATATTTTTTGAAAAAGTATTAAAATGTTTTCCTTTAATAAAATCGCCTGACATTCCATTGAACCATTTCAGCCGTCTGGGCCATCCATCGCATTCCCTTTCATAATCATAACCCCACATTGCCAGACAGTCCACAACCATTTGCTGTTTTATTGCCACCACTTGTTGCCATTTGGAGGAGAAAAACAAAAACAACAAAAACAATTTGGAATTCCAATTGAATGCCTTCTTCTTCTTTAACATTTGCATAGACCCAGTCTTCCATTAAAGAAGAAACTGTAATCAGAATTGTAGGCATTTTTAAGATGGGTATTACAAAACGGATTGTCCCGGCTGTCTGGCTGGCTGCTAGATTGTCAGACGATGACATCAATGTCTCAACACAGACAATGGAATTCTAAATTCCGATGGCAAATGTTTTTTTTTTTTTTTCATTATTGGCCGTTATGAGCGTTGAATGAGTTATGGAGAACAACTGTTAGCGTAGCTAGTTGTCCAGAAACAGATTTGCCATTGTTCTTTTGGTGTTGTGCGAAGAAAAAATTGGAACAAAGATGACCTATTGGTATTTTATAAGGCCGCATTGTAGAAGAGCAATAGGTCGTATTTATTTCAATTTATCCACTCATTGATCTCTCGTTGATAATGCGAATCGGTCCTGTGAGAGCCCTCTCCGTGGAATGCATTGTGGCTTCTATGAGAAAACTTAACGATATTCTATGGAATATCAGGCCTCAAGTCTTTTATACTAGAAACCCGTTGATATTCTAAGAGAAAATACATAGGTGTACTGTGACAAGAGAGGCAGAGAGAGAGAGAGAGAGAGAGAACAATAGTAAAATCTGCTCATTTTCGAACGAGTTTTTCTCCCACTCAATCTCACTCCTATACGAACGACATCGAAAAATTAAATTTACTCGATTTTTTCTGGTCCCAGGAGTGCTTTCGCTCGAATTCGAGAAAGTTCCACTCTTTGTAAAAATTCGAGCTAGTTCTTCGGAGGTCTGGTTGGTACAGTTGGCGACAATGCTTTCCAACGCGTTTTTCAGTTTTGTTGCGTTTGCTGCTGTGGTTTGAGGAACTACACATAGATAGAAGGAATACAAAAACGGTATGGCAAACACTAAAAGAGCGCTCGACAAGAGTAAAATCTGCTCGATTTTGAACCAATTTTGCTCCCACTCAAAAACAAAGAAATTAGGTTCTCTCCTATACGAGTGACATCGAAAAATTACGCTTGCTCAATTTTTTCTGGTCCCAGAGGCGCTCCTGCTCGACTTCGAGCGAGTGTGACTCTTTACTCGAATTCGAATGAGTTTTTCGAAGGTCTGCTCCTATCCGAGAAACTGCAGGTTACTTCGCCTACATATCTTTCATGGAAAGCCTATTGGAAGTATCTTATCCAGACACAACCCAAATTAAATAAATGCTCGGTAAAATCTACTCGTTTTCGAAAGAATTTTGGTCCCACTATAAAACGAGTATAGCATGTTCGCCCTTATTCGAGGGAAACCGACCAATTGAGTTATGCTAGTTTTAGTTTTTTTACTCCCAGGAGGTCTCCCGCTCGAATTCGAACGAGTGTCACTTTTTAACCGAATTCGAATGAGTTTTTCGGATGTCTGCTCCTAAACTGTGGGTAAATTGGTCTAATGATCTTTCATAGGAAAGCCTGTGGAAGGTATCTTATACAGAGATAACCCAAATTAAAAGAATGTTCGGTAAAATCTGCTCGTTTTCGACTCTACAACGAGCAAAGCATGCTCGTCCTTATTTGAGTGAAACCGAACAATAGAATTTTGCCCGTTAGGTTTTCTCTCTCAGAAGAGCTTCTCCTCGACTTCGAGCGAGTTTTACTCTTTACTTGCATTCGAGCGAGTTTTTCGGTCGAGTTTGCCCCTAACATGAGAATTGCGTGTAAGTTGGCCTACAGATCTTTCATAGGAAAGCCTATGGGAGGTATCATTTCCGGAGATAATCCAAATTAAAAGAATGCTCTGCAAAATCTACCCGTTTTCGAACGAATTTTGCTGCCACTCTAAAACGAACAAAGCATGGTCACCCTGATTCCAGCGGAATGGATAGAGTTTTTTTCGTTTGGTTTTCTTCTACTCCCAGGAGTGATCCTGCTCGAATTCGAACGAGTTTCACTTTTTACCCGAACTCGAACGAGTTTTTCGGTCGAGTTTGTTCCTGACAGAAGAAATGTGGGTAACTTGGAATGCTGATCCTTCATGAGAAAGAAAGCCTGTTGGAGTTATCATATTCAGAGATAGCCCAAATTAAAAGAATGCTCTGCAAAATCTGCTCGTTTTCGAAAAAATTGTCTGCCACTCTAAAACGAGCAAAGCATGCGCGCTCTTATTTCAGCGAAACCTAAAAAATATGTTTTGGTCGTGCTCGCCCTTATTCCAGCGAAACCGAAAAATAGTGTTTTGTTCGTTTTATTTTTCTACTCCCAAGAGTGCTCCCGCTCGATTTCGAGCTAGTT